GACAAATTCTCAGTAGTGCCAGACAAAAACTGCAGGTTGAGAGGTTCAGGCTGGACATTAGACAGAAGTGCTTCACTGGGAGAAATCTTGGAAGCTCTGCAGAAGGGACTAATGAGGTGCAATATCAACCTGCTGCAAACAAGCCCAACAGGCAAACAGAAGCTCGTGGCTTCCCTGCCCTTGTCAGCTCTTCCCTGATCTCTTCCATAAACCATTTCCACCTGGAAACATCACCCTAGTTTCTTACACAAATGTACATCCACTTACCATTAGACATTAGTTATTCTCCCATCATATTTTGCCTCTCAGTGAGATTCACAAAGAGTAACCACATCCAGGAGAAGCAGAAGACTTTAAGCTGTTCTCACCTGGTGGGCTCTCTGTTGCCACAGCCACCGTGGTGGCCCCATCAAACAGGTCTGGCAGCTCCACACTGGGAGATCTCAGACCTTGGTATTTGATACAAAACTCCAGCACCCCTGAACACTTCTGGCCTGATGTGTCCTTACATCCCTCCTTGCAGAAGAATCCAAGTGTCTTCCTTGCATTTTGCTCTCTTTTCCCTGTCCTTTTTCCTGTCTCCACCTAAAATAATAATTTCCTTGGGGCTCTATCACGAGGCCCTGTTGTTTCAGAAGTCATTTATCATATCCAAGGAAGACACTGAGCCAGCGTGACATGAGCTGTGTTAAAACCACCCAGAATTTTGTTCTGCTTCCCAACAGCACATGTCTGATTACTCCTCCAGAACCTGTTCTAGAAACCAACCTTTCCTTGTACTCCAGTTAATGGGACCTGTAATTGCCTGTAATTTCCTCCTTCCTCTAACACAGCCTCTCAGTCTTGCCTTGGCTGATTTCCTCTCGTGGAATATCACCTGTTCCTCACCAGACTCTGGACTGGCATTCCCTGTGGTGGAGTCCCCATCCCTGGAGGAGTTTAAGGCCATGGGGAGGTGGCACTTGAGGACATGGTTAGCAGTGGCCTTGGCAGTGCTGTGGGAATGGTTGGACACCATGATCTTAGAGAGCTTTTCCAGCCTGAGGGAGTCTCTGATTCCATGGGGTGAGCCCATCTCTTGGGCCCTAGAGACACCACAAAAAGCTTTTGCTGTTTCATCACCTGCAGATGCAGTAAGAGCAGGAGTGGGTCCAGTTCCTGGCACTCCAAAACACAGCACAGCCCTACAAAAACCACTGTTTGCTGTCCAAATGCAGATTGTATAAGGAAACACAACAAAAATCATATTGGTATTTAAATCTCTCAAATGTCATTCTTTTTGAGCTGCCCCAGCTATTTTCAGCCTTCATCTCTATCCTTCCTTTTAGGATCCAAGGTGCCATAGAGCCCAGCATAGGATCTGGTTCTCGGAAATCCACAAGATTGCAGTGGAGCAATGAGTGTGCCAGGAAAAGTAATCCCTGGAGAGGCACCAGAGGATCAGAGGATGCTGAGGCATCTTGCCACTGAAAACCCCGAGCTGGACATATGGAGAGGGTTATGGGCACACCACAGGAGTGAGAAATATGTCTAAAGTGTGCTTAACACATTGATATTGCAATAATCCTTTTGTGCAGATTTAATGTTTTCCATCCCAGGGCTTTTGCTAAGAGCGAGGTAAGCACTGCAACACCCCCAGATGGCAGATAAAAATGACTTAACTGGGAGGGAAAAGCAGACATGTCTTGGGGGGACATGGCAGCTGCCTGGCAAAACCCTGCAAGAGCTGAGGGTGGGAGAAAAGGAAAAGAAAAACTGCATCACCCTCCAGGACCAGAGGGGCAGTTGAAGACTCCCAGGAGTTACCCACTAAAGGAAATCAGAAGAGGAATTCCCTTCCCTAATGAGAAGTCTCCTGGGATTTTTGCTGACCAAAAAGGGTCAGGAACCTGGGTTTAGGCTGTATAAGAAGGAAGATGCATCTGCCACTTTGCAAAGCCCCAAGAGGTTGGTTCTGACAGACCCTCAGTTTGGAACTGGGAATTTGCTTTTTGCAGGACTCCCATTTAAAAAGGACATTAACACTGGGGTTGTGTCAGACTTGGTCGATTGCCCTGCAATTATTTTGTAATCTACATTAATAATGCTGCAGATGTGCTACTCCTGGCCTTAAACACACAACAGCTCAGCTGAGGCACCAGATGTCTTCCCTGTGAGAGCCCTCACACGACGTCTTCGGCGGACAAAGCCCAATTTTCAAGGCTGGATTATCAGCTTTTTTTCAAAACTGATACCCACACCATTAAAAAAATCAGCAGAAAATTGATCATAAATAAGATCTACAAGGTATCTTAGCTTGTTTGAGGTGATCCAAGGGGATTAGACAGATCAGGCTGGCTCAAAACACAGTAGTTACAGCACCAGACTGGGACTTGGGAGACCTGGGCTTGATTCCTAAATCTGCTGCTAATTTTGGGTGTCAGTGGATAAATAATTTCATTTTTTCTGTTCCCTTTTTCCACCCCCTCCCCTCGATAAAAACAGAGCTGCTGTCCTTTGTGAAGCCCTGGGAGATCCCTGGCTGTTAAGGGTTATGTCAGAGCCCAGGGCATTTGTGTTGTTATTAAATCTCACAGTCATGCAACAGCCTCCCCAGGGAAGTGATGAAAGACCTGTCGCTGGAAAGGTTTAAATGCAGGCTGGATGAGGTGGCAGGAGACACACCGTCGGGAACTGGCAGGCATTACCCAAGGGGGATAAGGAGTGGGGATCTAACAGGTTTTTCTTCCATCTCCGCTCTTTCTGATCAGCTCAATAAAACGGATCTGTCCAGCCTCCCTCCGGCACGTACTGCAGCACACAACAAAGAGGGGACTACAGCCCTGAAATACCCCCCAAACACGCACCCCCGGAGCGCATCCACCCCGCACGGGCCTGCTCGCCCCTCCGGCTACCGACCCCTCTCCCGGGGCTGCCTCGGGCACGGGGAGCTCCCCGGCCCGCTGTCCCCCTTCCTCCCCGAACCTCCTCCTCCGAGCAGCCGCCGGTGCTGCGGGGCAGAGACAGAGACCGAGCCCGGGACCGAGACCGAGCCCGGAGCGCGGGGCCGGGACCGGGACCGAGACCGAGCCCGGAGCGCGGGGCCGAGGGCGAAACCGAGACCGAGCCCGAGCCCGGGGCGGCTCCCGAGCAGCTCCTGTCTCCCCGCTCCTCTCCATCGCTGCTCCCCGCCCGCCTGCCCCTCGCCCCGGCTCCCACCGCTCCCCCAGCCCGGCGTGCTCGGGGATCGGGCATCCCCCCGGGTGCGGGCGAGCCCCTCAGCCCCCGCTCCCGGGGCCGGCATTGTCTCGCAGCCGCTTCCCGCCGCCCCCGAGCCGAGCTCACCGCCGAGCAGGAGGGTCCGCAGGGCGGGGCCGTGCCGTGCCGTGCCGTGCCGGGGCTGTGTGCCCGTGCCCGGGGCTCTGCTGCCCGTGTCCCGCCGCAGAGGCCGCGGCCGTGCAGCGGAGCCGCTTCCTGCGCTCCCCGCGCCGGCTCCGAGCCCCTTTTATCGCGGGGCCGCAGCAGCGATTGGCTCTCGGCGGCGAAGCGGCTTCCAGCCGCTCGCTCCTTTGTGTGGAGCCAACCTCTAACCCCAAAGCTTCCCCGCTCCCTCGGCTGCCAGCTCTCTGTGCCTGGTCGCCCGCAGCCTCCCCGATGCCACAGCGCCGGCCCCGGAGCGACCCTTCTGCTTTCTGGCACAGGGTGCAATTAACTCCCCCGGTAATTAGCGCTTCCAGCCTCTCTGCCGTGAGCTGCGAGTGCAGATTGGCTTCGCCCCAAGCTTTGGACACGGCCCTCCCCGCGTGGCACTCACCCACCCCGGTAAGGGATCCTGGAGCATCCCAAAGGATCCATCCTCCAGCGTCTGCAAAAGCCTTTTTGCACATTTCCCACACCTCAGCTCGCTGCTTGTACAGGAAGGATCTTAGGCAGCAGCAGGAAAGGAGGATTCCAGTGCTCCCCACTGCTCACCCTCCAGAGGGGTACAACTGATCTGTGGTGGTTTCAGAAATCCAGGGTTTATTCCATGCAGAGCTGATGAGCTGAGCGTGGGAGCGGGGCTGTGCGAGGTGAGTGGTGGATCTGCCAGAGCAGGGTCCCGTGGGCCGAGCAAAAGCCTTATAACCACTGTCTGGGTTATAAGGGCAGCTTCCCATGGTGTTTGGAGGGCTGGGATTTCCCCACGAACAGAGTAAAACATCAGAAATAAATATAAATAGTAATAGTTAAAATCTGGAGGTGGTTTCACACCAGCTGAGGAATCTGGAATGGCTGTGGGTCAGGAGAGAGGCAGCAACAACCTGTAGCTCTGAGGACTTTACCTGAAGCTCTCAAAGCCCTCCGATGGGCCATAAATGGAGGAAAACATACAATGGAGTGATGGGAATATCTTTGAAAATGGTGATGCTGGAACAAATATTCTTGTTTGGCTCCTGAACACAGTGTGATGCCACTGGAAAGAGCCAAATGCTGGCTGGAGGCGGCCCAAAGCCTGAGCCCAGCTGCAGAGACAGGTGTTCTGTGTGCAGTTTGCCTGTAATTCCCTGTACAAAAAACCACGACTGAGGAATTCACGGGAGTGAATGCTGGACAAGGAGAGAGCACTGGTGTGATTCACCACCTCTGCCACTCTGCGTTGCCCAAAGAGCGCCTGTGCTGAACAGGCTCGCTGCCATCGAGTGCGAATAAATGAGGAATTCCACTCCAGATGTGAGCCAGCGGTGGGACAGCCACACGCAGCCGGAGGGCTCTGCAGAGGGCAGGGGGCTGTGCAGAGAGAAGGGGGCTGTGCAGAGAGCGGGGCTCAGAGCCGGGCTCCGGGGGGCTCACAGCGGGGCTCACAGCGGGGTTCAGAGCCGGGCTCCGGGGGGCCCCGAGCGGGGCTCCCAGCCGGGTTTCGGGGGACTCGGGGGCAGAGGAGCATCCCCGGGACCCCCGGCCCCGCCCGGGGCGCTGAGTCCTCCGGGCCCGCAGGAGTCGCTGCCCGCTCCGGTCCCTCCGGCGCCGCTCTGTGCGGCGCCGCGGTCTCGGCGGCACAGGATGGCGGAGGAGAGCGGCGTCTGCAGCTTTGTGTTCAAGAAGCGGGTCCGGGCCGCGGGCAGCGGCCGGCGAAAACGGCCCGGCAGCGACCAGGAGCGGGGTGAGGGCTGGGGGAAGCGGGGCGGCGCGGGGAGCCGAGCTGATGCGGTGCGGTGCAGCGGGGAGGCGAGGGAGGGCCTGGTGCCGCCCCCAGCGCTGCCCACACGGGCGCTTGGCCGCCCTCCGCAGCCCGAGGGCGTGAAGGACCCTGAAGCTGTGTCACAGGGGATTTAGGTTGGATATTAGGAGAAGGTTCTTCCTTGGAAGGCGGTCGGACACTGCCCAGGTTCCCAGGGAACGGTCGCGGCCCCAAGGCTGCCCGAGCTCCGGGAGCCTTTGGACAGCGCTCCCAGGGTGGGATTGTTGGGTCTGCCATGGGCGTCCCCAGCCCGCCGGGGGCAGGGGCTGCCTCAGGCCTGGGCCGTGCCCCTCACGCCGGGCTTTCCCCGCAGAGAGCAGCGGGGAGGAGGGCAGCACCGTGGTGCGCAAGGAGCGGCGGCGGGACACCCCCAACCCCATGATCCAGAAGGTAAGGGAGCTCCGAGGGAGCACCTGCTCCAGCCGGGCTGCCTGCGGGAGCCTGCCGGGCTCGGCCAGGACGGCGCTGGAGCCTTTCCTCCCCCCCAGACCAGGCGCTGCACGAGGGAGAGGCCGGAGTACGCGCCGAGCAGCAGCGAGGATGAGGATCCTGCCAAGGAAATCGGGGTCACCTACAAATCCACCAGGTCGGCGGTAAGGACAGGCAGCAGGGGGCCTGGGGTGTCAGCTCAGCTGGGGCTGGGGATTCCTCTCCTCACAGACAGAATCTGCCACTCTAAACATGGGAGTGGAAATTCTTTCTTATTAGTGCACCTCCCTGTCCCCTCTTACTAGCCAAGCACCTTGTGCTGCCTTTACTCTGATAGTCCCTCCCTCCAGGGAGGCCAGCAAAGGTTGGCCTTTCCCTTTTGGAGGTGGGAGTTAAAATTCCAGGATGCCACTGGACTTGCCCAACACTGCAGAGATTTTTCAGGAGAGGGAGCAGTTGGATCAGGTTTACTCAACTGTTGGGTTTGTGTTTTCAGTGTGAGACCATCTTTGGCTGCTCCCAAGGGAGGCAGTGTTTGGTTTGCTCAACCTTCTGGAGAGAATGGGAAGGGCTGGGAGGAGGTGACAGCTTTGGCACTCTGCAAGCTTTTGGCACCTAAGTTGGACTTGTGTCTAATTGAGGCTGGCTGTAATTATTCTCTGGTTTCTGTGCAGCTGTTCTCGAAGATGTGATAAAAGCTAGGAATAGGTATCTGTACAGTCCATTAAAGAGGAATCTAAACCAGATCACTGTGTTCAAACTGAATTTTGGCCATCCCCAACTGGGTCAGAGGCTCAGTAACATCCTGTGTGTGGGCAGGAGGGTCCTGTGATTGAAGTGCTGGGTGACATGGGTGAACTGAGTGGGGCTTCCAGCTGAGCTGGGGCTGAGTGTAAAGGAGTAAAATAAGTGTTCCCTGACTTCAGGCTAAAATTTGGGAGCAATGAGGAATTAGCACTCTGGCCTCTGCACACACTAGACTGGAGCCTGTGGTGAATTCTCCCTAGCAAATGCCAAGGGATAAAGCAGATGTGTCCAGTTTTTGCTCTGTGACAACCCTTCAGGTAGACAGGAGCTCTCTGTCTTGTCCAGATGTTCCCTCCACTCTTGCCACAAGCTTTCCTTGCTTTGCAGAAACCTGTTGGCCCAGAAGACATGGGAGCCACAGCAGTGTATGAACTGGACACAGAGAAGGAGAAGGATGCCCAGGCCATCTTTGAGCGCAGCCAGAAAATCCAGGAGGTGAGTCAGCCTTGCTCCTCAGGAACTCGTGCTCTGCAGCAGCGGAGCCTGTGCTTTGCTCATCCCCTTCTGCACACCAAGAAGAGTTAGAGTCTCATCTTCCCAGAAGTTCAAGGAGCCAGGAGTGTAACCTTTGCAAATAGGGGCTTTGTTGGCATCTTGGTGTTAAGGAAGACTGGTGTCAGAGTGGTGGCAAATAATTCATGTCATGAAGCTCTCTTGATCCTTAATCATCTCTTCTTGCTTTCCTAGGAGCTGAGAGGAAAGGAAGACGATAAAATTTACCGTGGCATTAACAACTACCAGAAGTATGTGAAGCCCAAGGACACATCGATGGGAAATGCCTCCTCAGGAATGGTGAGGTGGGTTGGGATGAGCCTCGGGGTCTGTGACTGCAGAGGAGCTCAGGCACCATCCCAAAGGCAGTGTGGGGCTGGAACTCTGCTGTCACTGCCAGTTTCTGCCTGACCAGTGTAGTGTCTGGTGGTGGCCAGGGCCCTGCTCCAGGGCCACTTTGCAGCCAGTCTGAGCCTCTTTTCCCCTTCCAGGAAAGGCCCCATCCGTGCTCCGGAGAACCTGCGGGCCACGGTGCGCTGGGACTACCAGCCTGACATCTGCAAGGACTACAAAGAGACCGGGTTCTGCGGCTTCGGGGGTGAGTGCCTCGTGCTGCAGCTGAGCACCAGGCATGCAGGGGGTCCCCTCCAGCTGTGACCCCGTGTTTGGGGTGCTGACTCACAGACCCTTCTGTGCAGAGCTGTTTATGTAAGGTTGTCATTCGTGCCATCCCTTCTGAAAGCCCAGGGCCTCTAATTAGTGGTTATAGGAGTCCTGGAAGGGACCCCTGGATGTTCCAGTGACCCACATTCTTACAGGTATTGTGTGCACTGTGAGACCATGTAAGGGATGGGTTTTCCTGTTCCTTATCCCACTTCCCATGTGCATAACTGCTGGAACAGAGAGGCACAGAGGATGATGCTCACAGCCTGTCAGCACTGAGGGATCTGTACCTGCTCCAGGAGCTTAGTGCTGCCCTGGAGAAGGAGCAATCAGATTTCTCCTGCTGGGCAAAGCTCAGGCTGCCCTGGAATTAGGTGTCCTGATAACACTCTGCCTTTGCAGCCTGTCTCTTATTTCCTCTTTCTTTGTGCTGCTCAGACAGCTGCAAGTTCCTGCACGACCGCTCGGACTACAAGCACGGCTGGCAGATCGAACGGGAGCTGGACGAGGGCCGCTACGGCGTCAACGGTACGGCCCCTGTGCCCTCACAGGACTGCTCCAAGCTGTGCAACTCCTGCTGCAGGAGCAGCTCAGGGCCAGGAACCACTGACAGTGCTGAGCAGAGCTGCTGCTTTCAGAGCTCCCCTGGCTGTCCCCCTGATGCCCAGGAGGTGGGATGTCATTTGTCACTCAGTGTCTGGAGCTGCGGCCCAGGCCTCGTGAGTGCTGCTGTGCAAATGGGGGCTATTCTCTGCTCAGCTGGAGCCAGAACTTGGTGGCAGCTGGTTTGGAAGAAAGTCTAAAAAACAGGAGGAGGCTGGAGGATGTTTCTCTTTATAGCAGTGAGTGGGTGAAGTAGAAAAGAATTTTCTCCTGAGATGAGCAACAGGCCTGCTGGCTTATTAGCCGTAATTATAGCACAGTCCCACACGTGTTACTGACATCAGCAACACCCAGATGCCAGAGCTCCATTGTTTCCAGCAGAGATTGAATCCCACCTGCTGTGCTCTCCTCTTATTTATTATTTTGTGCCCCACACGTGGGCTGGGCTGGCTTCTTCTCTCACGCCACTCTGGTTCACTTTCTCTTCTGCAGATGACGAAAACTACGAGGTGAGCAGTGATGAGGAGGACATGCCTTTCAAATGCTTCATCTGCAGAGGTTCCTTCAAGAACCCTGTGGTCACCAAGTAAGTGGTTGTTTGGCACGAGCAGCCACGTGTGCTGTCAATGCAGCTCAGGAGTCATTCATTCACTATTGAGGCAAAGACAAACCCAGCCCACGGGCTGTGGGTGGAACCTGCTTGTTGTCTGCCCTGGCTTTCAGGTGGGTGGGGAAATCTTGTGAGCCAGGGAGTCCAATATCTGAATCTGGAGCATCCCCCTGGAAGGGATCTCAAGCACTTACTCAAGCACTTTTTAGCTTTCCACAAATCCTGCCTCATTCATTTATCTTTCCCCCTTAACCCTGAGATGTTGTTTTCATGTCATCATTCCTCCTGGATACCGAATGGCAGCTGCATTTCCTGAGCAGAGAAATGTGAGCATGGGGAAGCTGGGAGCTTGGCGAGGATGAGGAGGAGGCTGAGGACAGTTCTTTCTCACTCTGAACACTGTCCTGTGTCAGGAAGAGCTCACTGGTGGCTCTGTGCTGTCACTGCACATCAGTGAAGCAATGCTGAAACACCTTCCATGGGGACAAGGATGCAGAGGAAGCTGTGCCTGCAGCTCACTTTTGCCTCCCTTGAGGACCACAGAGAGAGTTGTCACGCAGTGAAAGGGGCTGTCCAGGGAGCTGGCAGAGTCCCCGTCCCTGGGGAACAAGCACTCAGTGCTCTGGTTTGGGTGACAACGTGGTGTTTGGTCAAAGGTTGGACTTGATCATGGAGGTCATTCTCAACCTTGATGTTCCTGTGAGCAGCAGTCAGTAGTTTGTGACTCCAGGACACAGTGGTTGTGTCTGGGGGCTTGCAGTGACCTCTGTGTCTCCGTACAGGTGTCGGCACTACTTCTGTGAGAGCTGTGCCCTGCAGCACTATCGCAAATCCCAGCGCTGCTACGTCTGTGACAAGCAAACCAACGGGGTCTTCAACCCTGCCAAAGGTAACGGGCACCTGGGGAGAGGGGCTTCTGGGGGAGCACCTGAGCACCAGCTCCTGCTGGAGCTTCCTGGTGCTGGGCCTGGTCCTGAGCTGCAGTTCACAGCTCTTGGCTGCCAGCAGAGCTCAGTTAGTGTCAGGAAATATTGAATCACAGATGCAACGTGAGCATCTGTGCTTGCCCAGGTGGGGAGCCTGGGGAGTGACTGGAGAGCAGAGGCAGCAGTTGTGTGGTCAGTGATGCACTGAGGGAATGTCTGTAACAGCTCCTGCCTGCACTCAGCCAACAGAGGTGGCTCCAAGCTGAGCCCCTATAGGCAAGGGATTTTTGGTAGCTGCCCTGGTCCTGGGTGTTCACAGCACCTGGACCCCTGGCTCTGGGGCAGCCCCTGCACCTGGAGCCTCATCGTGCCTGTTCTGTTTTTCAGAGCTCATGGCAAAACTGGAAAAACACAAAGGGGAGGAAGAAGAGGAGCAACAGTCAGACCAAGAAGGGGATCCACAGTAGCAGAACACATTTTGTACATAACTGAATAAAATTTTTGTAGGAGAAAAAAAAAGCTGCCACCTGTAGCCAGGGGTTCTGTATCCAACCAGCAGCTACTGAACCGTGCCCACCTGGGCTGGACTCTGTCTTTGCTGCCCCGTGGGGGCACAAGGCAGGACAGGTAAGACTCAAGGGCTGAGTGAGCCATCTGCCACCCCCAGAACCTCTGAGGGCAGCCGGGGAAGGAGGGTGAACGTTCAGTTACTTTGTAATTGCTGCTTCTGACCACGGTGCTGCTGTTTTACTCCTAACTGGGCAAGCAGGGAACAAAGTTAATTTAAACCCCTAATCTTTGAGCATGGAGCAAACTGGAGGCACGGGCAGGGATGAGAAACAGGAGCTGGCATCAAGTTCATCCTTCATCCTGAAAATGCTAATTCGTGGGAAAGCAGGCTGGAGCACTGCAGTTACTGGGCATTTATTCCCTCCTGTCTTGGTTCCTAGAAGTCAAGATAGGGACAGAACTTCAGTGGGCTACACACCTTTTGAATCAGCCCTGTAAGACTTCCTAACAAGCCAGAAAATTAATATCTTCTTACTAACAGTAAGATTAAATCAGGAGGATCATAGGGAGGAAGTAGAACTGGGCCTGGCCTTAACAAACACTCCTGCAACTGGGAGAATTTTACTGAAACTTTCAGAAAAGAGCAAGAGCAGGTGTTTGTAGCTTGTTGCTTTAGTTGAAGTATGTTTCTGAATCATGAAGGCAGCTGCCATAAACTGGTGAGCTGTACAAAACTAAGGTAAAAGCAAGCATGCACAGCCAGCCTGTCACCCTCTGTGATTCACTCCACCATCCTGCACAAACAGCAAACTTAAAAAACAACTTCAGAAATATTTTATTTGTTTTGGAAAAAAAAAAAAAACTAGAGTAACAAACTTTATGTGGGTTCAAGTACAATTTATAAACACAAAAAGGACCTGTTTGCCAGCACCACTACTCCCATCAACTGCACCTATACAAGGATTCTCAGTGCTTCAGTAAAGAGCAGATGACCTTCAGCACCACGGTCCTTGGAAAAAAAAAAAGTCAAACTAAAAGCCTTAAATACACCTCCAAACAAACCAAACGCCACGGAATGGGGCAGAGCTGCCACAGCAGCAGGGCAGAGTCACACAGCCATGAATCACAGGGAGCCACGTGAGCAGCTTTTACCTGTCAGTGAGGGAAGGCAGAACAGCAATGGTAATGGAAAGGTTAAAGTTCAGTTCTGTACAGGAGTTGTGAGCAAGAGGATCAGCATGACAATCAATTTCCTTTTCCTCTGTGCCAGGGTAAGTCACTGAGAACAGGCAGGTAAGAGTGTTTCATGCTGTGAAACCAGCCCAGCTAACATGAAGTTCAACTAGAAGGGGATAAAAAAGCTGGTACATTGCCCAGGCATCCACACTGCTCTGGTGACCTAGGAAGCTGGAAGGGGAGGCTGGAAAGCCCTGTCTGACCTGGAGTTCAGAGTGCTCAGCATCCACTGAGAAGTTTTCAAAAGCCCTCTCCAGACTGGAAGAATCCAGTGCTGCAGAGGAATGCTCAGTGCAGCAAGAGTGCCTGGAATGGCATCAGCTTGTCTTTGATCTCCTGTTTTTCATCACAAAGCAGTAATTAAGAATAGAATCCCTTTTTTCCCCCCCTTAAAAACTTGCCCTGTGACAACACTGTTACAGGAACTTGACTAGTTCTAAGAGAATGCCCAAAACTAAAAGCTGCCCACCTCCCCTCAACTCTAAGGCACCCTTAAAAGAGAAAGAACCAAAGAGGGCAGGGACATGCAGCCTCAGCTGTGAGGAAGCCAGTGATTTTTAGAAACACATAAATAGATACCATAACTACACAGACTCACTCAACACCCTCAAGTGCTCTACCAGAGCTCAGCTGGAAGAATGGGGGCTCTGGGCACTGCACCTTCTGGAATACTCCACAGCTCCTTGGGTTGATCCTTTTCCAGCTCACGTCTGTCCATTTGTATCCAGGCTACTTCTTAAGTAAACAGGCAGTTAAGTTCCTTCCCAAGGACCTGTAAACTCTTCTGTGTGTAACACTCATCAGCTTTTATGAACAGGACCAATAAATTACAATGTCCAGAAAGCTCCTCCTCAGCGTAGTCCCTATTTTTCTAGAATTCCCAGTCATCTACATCCAGCTGCTCCAGATTTGATACCAACCCAAAAATGCCACTGGGATCCTGAGGCAGTGTCCCTTCCAAATTGGTGATGGGGGTGACAGGGCGCAGAAGTTCAGGGAGTGCTTCGGAAGCACGGCGCTTGATCTGCACAGGAAGGACAGAGTGAGCACATGGGGCTGCTCAGGTGCTGCTCCACACCCAGCACTGCAGGCAGAAACAGGCAGGAAATGCACAGGGCACCCTTTGGACTCCTTAAGGAGCAGGTTAGAAGTGCCTCGCCCCAGAGCTCAGCAGCCTGCAGGGGAACAGCTGTTGTGGCTCCCAGAACAGGCAGATTTAAAACCTCTCTTAGATAAGAGATGCTTCAAGAACAGCTTAAGCACCTTCCCAGATGTGACAATCACCACACTGCACTACAAACAGTCAAAAAACTGACTTAATCTTCCCAAACACAGAAAATTCAGCAACTCAACACCCCCACCCTCACAGCAAGATAAAGCAAAGTACTGTGCATTGCTTGCAAATCAAAGCATTTACCTGTAGCTAAATTAGTTCCTTACCTGCTTAAAAAAGGGGTGACTGAGCAGAGTGCCTGCGCTTGGCCTGTGGAAGGGAGGTAGAAGGAGGGAAGAACACAAGAACATGAGTCAGTGCTTGAAGTTGGTAGTGGGAATAAGAAAAGACCAGGGTCCTTCCTGCCTCTCCCATTTCTCAGATGTTGGGTATCTCCCTATTTTCAGTAGTAGCACTGCTTATTAAGCATTTACAATCAATGTTTTATGCAAGGAGTTCAACCTCCTTCTTCTAACCTTTAAGTTACGTACTTGCATGCCCTACATCTGGCCAAGGACAGTACCTGAGCAGTGGGGCACCCCTGAAAAGTCTGTCATGGCTACAGATTGCCCTGACTACAAAGAAAAAGGCATCATTGCTCTCTGCTGGCTGAAGAGCAGTGATGGGAACTGGGTAAACACAGTCCCACAGGGGCCAGAAACACAAGTTGTTTATTTTCCTGGTGTGCAGCACCACTCATCCTCCAAGGAAGGCTGCAAAGGAATTCCTCAGGTTCTCATATAGGAAGTGCTCAAAGTGTTAACACTGCTTGTTCTACACACTTGGACTGCTCTCCTCAACAGATGGGGGCACATCCTCACTCCACTACACTTTTGGAAAGTGAACTGTAAACAATATCTGCTAACTCCCACAGTTTAACCAGCCCTAGAATAGCACAGGTGGGGAGAGCAGCTTTACCTGAAATCGGGGTTCCTCTGGAGGCACTGCTCCACGAAGTTGTGGAAGTAGGTGGAGAAGGTGCGCAGGTAGGGGTGCAGGGCTGGCTCCCCGTTGGCCGCGCGCGCGTTGCCCGTGGCCGTGCTCTCCCCCATGCTGTAGTTCGCGCTGGAGCGCGACGTCTTCATGGTCAGCTCGTCAGCAGGAATCGTGGTGGTGTCCAGCAGGCAGGGAACAGTTCCATTCAGCTTCTCCAAGAGCATCTGGAAGAGCAGGGGCACAAGCAACAGCACAGTTAAGGTTTCCCGTTCATGCAGGCAGGGCACCTTTCTGTGCTCACATGCCAGAGCAGGAAAGCAGCTCCAGGAGCCAGGATGAAGGACGAGAAAGGAGCCTGCAAACCTTACCTGAGTAGAAGGCATGTCTTTAAATGGGACGTGTCCATTTGCCAGCTCACAGGCCGTTATCCCCACGCTGTAAATGTCAGATTTTGCATCGTAACCCTGCAGATTCTACATGAAAAGGAAAAGAAAAATTACCTTCAGGGACTTGGATATGACTGAATGGGCAACACCCAGGATTTTGACTGCAAGCCAACAAACCCAGATGATTAGAACAGGAACAGCACAAGCCACAGATACACTGGTTTATTGTGGTGAGGGTTTTTTGGTTTGTTAAAACACACAGTTAAGGGCAACATTTATGTAACTGAAATCAGCCAACCTGGAGGGATGGCATCTGCCCTGGGTAACTTGCATCTGATGTTAACACTTTGCTAATGAGACAACCTGTAAAGCTGCCTACAATTAAACTGTTGAGTCAACTAGATCAAATTCTACCCAGTTGCTCTGCATTCATCCCAAATGTGTTTCCTTTAGCCTCTCCCCTTCTTTTTCCTTGCATTCATGTACCCTTCCCCTTGCTAGGGGTCACTGGTTTTAAGATAAAAAGAAGGGAAAAAAGGACTAGAGCTCATCACAAGAAAAGAACTCTGCAGGTTCTCTCGTATCTCCCACCCTACACCCCTCTGACTTGCTCTAAGAGCTCACAAAATTGTACAGATACAACACATCAGTAAACACAAGCAGTTTCTCTTAAACACACCTGCTGCAAAACCTCAGGACTGAGCCAAGGCAGCACCTTGATGCTGTATTTGGGGAAGTCATGAACAACTTTGAGTCGCTGCCCATGGTTGATCATACTCAGGTTACTCCGCAGGCCAGAGAGGTACACCTTGCCATCCACAGAGATCAGGATGTGGCTGGCTTTAACACTCCTGGGGAAAAAAGGAAAAAAACAGTCAGGTTCCCTGGCCTGGAGCAAACAGCTCAATGCACAGGACAATACGTGATCAGCTTCCTACCAAGAGGCTGAGACTCCTAACAATCATCTTTGGATGCTGGGCAAAATCAATTAACAGGATTCTGTTCATCACCTTTGCAAGTTCACAAAGAATGTTTCTGTGGCGAGGAGAAATGCAGGAGTCAATGTTATGGGTTGTGATTTTAGATACACAGTGGTCTTTGGGATAAGTTTGCTCCACAACACTTTTGTGCAGCTTAGTAAGATCAGTGATGTTCCTTCCCATGAGTATCAAACTGATTTGCTCTAACAGCAAAGTAATACAAAACTTAATGTTGTTCTGTGTCTCCTGATTGATGCTCTGCTCTACTCTGAGTATTATTTCAAAGAACTTCCACCAGAAGGAAAATGACCAATGTATTTTTCAATACCTATGCACATAGCCCATATGGTGGATGTAGTCAAGTGCTTTCAAGACACCTTGGAGAATGTAAGCAATGGCCAGTTCAGTCATCCCATCTGTAAAATGGGTACAGATTAGATCTTTTGCAGAACCTAGAAAGAAATGAAACACCACCTGTCAGAACAAAAGCCCCAAGGACACTTCAGCTCTTCAATTTCATTTTCACAGAACATGAGGATCAGAAAAAGGTACCCCCTCTCCACTCACCATAGGCCATGAAAGAAGTCACTACCCACAGCTCATTGTCAGCTATGAAAGTTGCTTTGTATGGCACGATGTTAGGGTGGTTGAAGAGCTTGGAAACATGAAGTTCCCCCTAAAATAAAAGATATTTTGATTAAATTTAGTAAATGCAGAAACATGACTGCAGTATTGACAAGCATTGCTCTCACTGTCTGTCCTCTTCTAAGCTTGCATGTTGAGTGGTATTACCTGCAAGAAAGTGACCATTTCATTTGTGCAGGCCTCCAAGTTCACTCTTCTGACTGTGACATACTCTCCTGTGGGTTTATACCTGGCCAGGTTCACAACCATCAAATCTTCAAAGCCCCTGCCTGAGAGAGAAAGCATGAAAACTTCAGTAATTCTTCTGGAAGCACTGAGAGAACTCCTGCAGCCCCTGACCCTTCAATAATCTTTACCCTCACTCACTGAAAGTACTTTTGACCTTGTAAAAAAGAGTAATTGTTCCATGAGATATTACCTTCCTTGGCATGTACCCCACTGTGAGGAATCCTCCTAACCAGTAGAATTATCCTGTCCTTCAAATTCAGGAATGAGGCAAGAACAGTGATTAGGAGCACTGCTGATGCTTCTTCTGACTGTACTGCACCCCCAGCATCACTGACCTACTACATGTCCCTCTCAACCTTTAGGACTGGCATCTCATTTTTGATTCAAATTATTTTAAAATCAAAGATGCAGACTTCCACTATCAAAAATAAGCAATCAATCAAGAAAAGGACAAATCTGCAGAAATGATTTTCTTTACAAAGCAGACTCTGATTCCCCCAGCCCTCAAGAATTACCTATGATAGTGAGCAACTCATAGCAGCTGCTGTCTGGCAGGAAGTTGCTCATGGTGTCCCTTTTAGGGGAAGAAGCTATCGACTCGGAGCTCGCCTCATTGGTCTGAGGAAAAAAAATGAAGTCAGGTCAAAGGAAATACAGATCACCTGCTGGAAAACTCACCTGTCCCTCATTAACATACACTTCAAAATACTAGGAATACAGAAGAGGATTTAGTTGCTGTTGAAATAATTTTAAATAGTCATTTATCAATTGACACTCAGGAGATGCCTTATTTCAGAAGATCCAGACATCTGTGTTACAAGACACATAACAAGTAGATTTTTAATCACTGTAAGTGAGAATTTATTCAGGAATATTTTAATAAAGCCAATTATTATTGCCCAGGACAGCCTAAACTCTGCTGTATAGTAACTGCCTTTCTCTTATGATTACAAACTTGTGTGCCACCACCTTGTTGCCTGAGCCAGAGCCAAAGGGAAGCTGTTCTTAGCCCTTCTCTGCACTGTAGTTGGTGTTCCTGGTGGATGCTGCAGCTCCAGGCTTTCACCTGCTCACCTGGGATAAGCCCAGCACAGCTGAAGCTGCTTAGCTGAATGGTACGAGTGATGAAGAAAATCAGACAAACATGAAAAGAGAAGCTCCAAATGAAAGTAAAAACTGCAAAGCAGAAGTGCTTCTGAATAAAAAAAAAAGGGAAAAAAGCACCCCCAGACCACAGAGGGAAGCAGCACTCCCAAGCCTGTCAGCTTTCCCTCACTCCACCTGACATAAAGCTTTCTGCTTTTTTTACATACACTGAAATCTTCCCCTGCAGAATTTTGCAGATGATAAATTTCAATGTTCTTGCAAGTTCTTTTACACCTTCCAACTCCTTCAAATGTCCAAAGTCACAAGGAGAGCGATCTAAAGGGGATTAAAATTTATGTGGTATCTAAAACCATCTTTAGTTACCTCCAGTTTCCAGCACATTAACTCCTCCTGGCATTCAGAACAGCAGCTCAATTTTTCCACCTCATTCTTCATCAACTGCAAATGCCCTTTACGAGACCTTTCTCATGGTACATGAAGCAGAAAAAGTGTGTGCCTTTTCCTACCATGACAGCAGACTCTGTTCTTTATTGCCATCACTGAAAGATGGAAACAACACAGTGACAGCTGAAAAAACAAGGAACTTGCTGTTCTACCCTTAGCCCAGAGTAAATGCAGTGCAAGGAGCACAGACAGGAGTTTGCTGTAAATTACCTCTGGGTGCTAAGTGTACTTTGGGAGTAAATTAGAGCCACACTTCCCAAGTTCCACCTTTTCAATAGGCTTTGAAGAGCATGCTACCTACCTTTAAAATAGGTGCATTTTCCATTAGGGGAAAAGGCAAAAATTAAGATTTGTGGTGCTCTGGTATAATTTCAGTACAAAGAACTCAGTCCCATCTCAGCATAGCTAAAGCCCCTGGGAGCATCATTCCCAGATCCCTCCCTTTAGTGAACACTACAGTGCTGTTTCTTGGCTCAGAACAGGCAGCAACTTTCCACTCAGGATTTCAAACTTCAGCTGAAGAGGCCTGTCCATTCTGATCTCAGCTTTATCATCCATTACTTCTTTCAGCAATTTCACACAGTCCTGTCAACAACAGCAAGAGTGCCAGGAGAGACACACAGGCAGATAGAAACCTCTGAAGCACAAAGGCACCACCAAGGAGATGGAAGCAGGGGCTGGGAAGCAGTCATGGAGCAGTGACAGCTGGTGAGACACTGAGCAACATGTAAGTGGTTTGCTTTATTAAAGTCCACTCCAGGGAGAGCATAAGCCAACAAAACAGATGCAAAGAATTAAATAAATTTCATCTTATTAATGGTGTAGGCTGTGCAGTAATGGAAAAATACTGTGAATTCCCTATTGAAAAGTCTTCCAGTTTGAGGTCTTCACTCACCTCTCCTCATGTTAGCAGTGACCAATAACAGAGTTAATGCAAAAGGAGCTCAACCAGAAATTTATCAACATCACACAACAGTTTAAAAAAAGAAAGTTAAACTGAAATGTCATTTATGAGGTACTGCAAAAAAGCTCCTCAGTGGTTTCACACAGGACAATTTTTGGTGTATGGTCAAAAGCAGCTGCAAAATGAAGTCCCATATGATCAGTTTTATGGCATGACATTCATTTAGAGCTGGCTTTTGGCTTGGGAGTCCAGTTTAATTTGAGATAGATTTAAAGGAAATTAATCTTTGAAAGGCAACTACTGGTATAAACACCATAACACAATCACTTATGTGGTGCTTGCAAGGATCTGCATCAATCTGAGTTAGGAAGAGGGAACATCACTTTTGTTCGCTTCTGAATACCTCCATCTCCTCACTCCCTCCCTCACTTCAGCAAAAGCAACAAAAATTTTCCTCTCAACTCCCTCCCCAAATTATGTGCCTTTCTCTACAGCGCTGGTGAAAAAAAAAAAAGACTTTTATTTGGACATAAAAAGATCAAAATGAGAATCAGTGTATGTCTAAATCCCAAGAAAACCCTTGGAAATAACCAAAACAGATGCTAATCTCAATTTGCTTCCAGCCAGGCATGTCTAACACTCAGCAATTTTAAAAAAGGTGTGAATTTACTCAATTTTATATAAAACATTCCATATACATCTCCTATTTTGAGCTTTGTTTGTGCCAGTAAATTACAGACACTGGCACAAAAATCAATTATAAGCAGCTTGAACTGACACAGTTATGATCAAATCACACTTAATTCGTGTTTGCAATTAGCTTAAACTACAGCAACAGCTGCACACCTGTGGTGTGGGGAGGTGGGGAATCATTTAGATTAAGATACTCTATTGTTAATTGTGATATTTTATGTGTTGCATGCTCATTATGAACCAGACAGTGAGCAGTCAGGGTCTGCAGAACAAACACTTTTCAGGAGTTCCATAAAACCAAACTCTTCCTCCCTTCTCTGAAGGATCAGAACGAAATCACCTCAAAAAAAGAGACCCTTGAGGGGCTGGGGGGAGGAGAATGACAAACAAATAGAAATCCAAGAGACTGAGTTTAAATTTTTGAGTTATCACATATAGTTTGAAAACCACACACCAAAATCTCCACTCCAGGGTGAAACCTGTTTCCACACTTGTAGAGGTAAATATAGAGATGAGATATATAACTAAGATAAAAAGAAAAATCAAACTTCCACAAGGAATAATCTCCATGCAATGAACCACAGCACCACAGCCTGCACAAGTCACTTACTTTTCTCCGAGAGTCACCCGGAGGCTGCTCTGGAGTAAAGAAATTAATTGTTCAACAGATACCCATTAAAATATAGTTGGAAAACTAAGTAAATAACCCTGGATGACCCTTTTCAGTATCAAATATACATGATTTTTTGTTTTATAGAAAGACATTTAATTTGCACACTAGGCATACTGCAGCACATGCACAGGATCAGAGATTCACAAAGGGCTACTGCTTGTATATTTGACATAAATGTAAGGTGACAATTTTTTTTTTACTGTAACTCTAAGTATTAACCTTCTGTCATGTCCCTTATTGCAGGGGGGAGGACTTGGTGATCTTTAAAGGTCCCTTCCAACCTGAACAATTCTGTGATTGTAAACACATTCAAAGATGACTCTTACATACAAACGAAACTCCCTAATATTTTTTAAAGCAATAAAAATTCCTTTACTCCACCTGGAAGCTCAAAATCTAGGCATATTTCCTATGCTCTGTTTGTTTTCCATGCCATTGAGCAGGAATTCTGCATCCTAGTGGGCAGCTTTGTTATGCAGAAGCAGAGCACAAACCTGTCAGCTCCTCCTCCTGGGGAGCCATCAGCAGTTTCAAAATCCATTTTCACTCAGAAAATCGTAATTAACCTTCCAAAACCCCAAATCCATCTTTTGCATACGAAAAAAAAATGTGGTTATGCTAAGCAATACAGAACTATCTTAGAACTGTTATGATTTCCAAATAACTTGCTACATCTTGGACACTTCCACATTAAATTACTGGGCTTAGACAGCTTGAATATGTGGATTTACAATGAGATTTAATCATCTCTTTTAGTGATAAAATATACCTTTACTACCAAATCACCAAGCTTTACAGCTAAAATAAAACATTTCTAGCAATGTTGTTTAACAAGAGGAAAACCTACCTTCAAACAGCTCGAACTCCCTTAATCCCTCAACAATGAACTTCTCAGACACCCACCGCTGAAAGAAATAAAAATTCTCCACATAATCAGTTATTCCATCTCGAGAAAAGTTTCTTTTCCCCTTCCCCACAAGAAAAAAAACCTCAAATTTCAATGATTCTGCTGTATCACCAGTGACATTCTTATTTTGGACAAGATATTCCCTTTTTGGGCCAATGACATGCACCCAGCAACCACACAGGTGCTGCTGTTATTCCCAATCAACATGCACTTGCAATAAAGTTAATATAATTTAATTCACTCAAACAACTTTTTATACATGCACATACAGCAAAAATAATCAGTATGCAACAACCCCCTCACACAGCCAAATAAAAGTTGGCTTTTTAGGTGTAAGAGGTTTTAAAAAATGCTTTCACTATTTACAAGGAGGTGGTATCATCTCTGAGAATTCAAATATTTTGGTTATAGCATCAATCACAAACACTGCCACGGCAGAACTTGCTACTTAGCAAAACAGCTTAAGAGTTTAATAAACAGCTGATGTTGTTCAGTGCTCGAGAGGCCGGTCCTAGAAAGCACCAATGAGTCTTTAGGTGATGATGACTCAAAACTTGCATGTAAGAATTCCATTTGAATGCCTTAGAAGTGGTTCTGCTGCTGGAAATTCCCTCATTTTCTGCTGAAAAGCAGAACCAAACAAAGCTGTTGTGTTTAGCTTTGCAAGCGAAGTGAAGGAAAAAAAAAAAAACCCATCAACTGTGACACAGGTGAGGAGGCTACTTCTTAAAGAACGACTGAAAATAAGCTTTTTCTTCACTGCAAAGCCCATTAGAGCCCCTCTGCACCACACCCCAAGGAGATACAGGTGTATGAGCCAGCAATGAGGGCTTCAGTGCAGGGTTTTTAACCAGCGCTGGTTGCACACCCACCCACGTCCTGTCACCAACCCTAGAATCAGTTTTCCTGTGCCCTTATGGTGCTCTCCAGGCCCGGCCGCTCTGCACAAGCGCAAGACTCGTTCTACCGAGACGCGAGGGAAGCTGAAAGGTCTTCAACACTCACCCTAATGCGCTCGGGTTTACTTACAAGGAAAGACATGGATCCGCCGCTGTGGGACACGCGCAGCAGAAAGGGCGGCACACCTGCGGGCACACGGCCGCGTCACCCGCAGCGAGCACCGAGCCGCCCGAGCCGCCGAGGCCCGGCAGCCCCGGAGGGCTCCGGGAGAGCGGTAAGCACCACCCGGTACTCCCACAAAGCGCCGACACCACCGAACTCCCGCCGGGCCCGGCAGCCCCAGGACAGCGGTAACTCCGGCGAGAACCGCCCGGAGGCCCCCAGAGCGGCGATATCCCCGGGTCCCTCACCCGTGAGGGACCCTCCTTACGGCCCCGGGTCCCTCACCCGTGCGGGGCCTTCCCGCACAGCCCCGGGTCCCTCACCCGTGCGGGGCCCTCCCGCACAGCCCCGGCTCCCTCACCCGTGCGGGGCCCTCCCTTACGGCCCCGGGGCCCTCCCGCACAGCCCCGTTCCGTCCCCGGCTCCCTCACCCGTGCGAGGCCCTCCCGCACGACCCCGGCCCCTCACGGACCCCTCAGGCTGCGGCCGCCGCTGACCGGCGAGGGACGCTGCGCGTGACGTCACCGCGCCGACACGTGACGCGCGGGCGCGCTCGCGTGATGTCACGGGCGGAGCTCCCGCGAGCGGCGGGGAAGGAGCCGGCGCCATGTTGGGTCCCTCAGCCCTGAGCCTTGGCCACATCCAGCACTGCGGGCCGGGAGAGAGACCCACTGGAAAAGAGCTGGGGGTGCTGGCTGACAAGCAGCTGAACGTGAGCCCAGGTGGGCAGCAAGGCCAATGGCACCTGGCTTGTCAAAACGTGTGGTCAGCAGGGATTGACCCCCTATGCCAGGCACTGGTGAGGCCGCACCTCAAGTGCTGGGTCCAGTTGTCGTCCCCTCTCTTTAAAAGGATACTGAGGGAGCTGGGAAGGGGCTCAGCCTGGAGCACAGGAGGCTCAGGGGGGCCCTTCTGGCTCTGCACAACTCCTGACAGGAGGGGACAGCCGGGGGGACTCTGCTCCCAGGGAACAGGGACAGGAGGAGAGGGAACGGCCCCAGCTGGGCCAGGAGAGGCTCAGGATGGACTTCAGGAGGAATTTCTTCTCAGAAGGGGTTCTTAAACACTAGGAGGCTGACTAGGGAGCTGCTGGAGTCCCCACCCCAGGAGATGTCCAAGCAATGAGTGGATGTGGCACTCAGTGCTCTGGGGCTGGGAGACAAGGTGGGGATCAGGCACAGCTTGGACCCTCTGGGAGATGTTCTCCAAAGGAATCAGTGCTGTGACTCTGTGGGTCCCTCAGGGACCCTGCTGTGCCCAGCTGCCACAGAAAGGCCGGGGCAGATCCTCCCTGTGAGCCCAGCCCAGCCTGCCCAAGGGGACACAGCTCCTGCAGCCCTCCCCAGCAGGAACCAGCTCCTCCTGCTGCTCACAACCTACACCAGAACTCACCAGCACAAAGGAGGCTTTCAGAGTCTGCTGAATGAAAGGAACACTGAGACAAGCCAAGTAAAGCAGGAGTGTTTCAATTATATTTTACTCTTCATTAGATTGTTCATTTCAATGTTTGTATTACAAAATTAGCTGCCGTGGCCCACAACTGGATGGGACTTCAGGAAAGCTGTCTGCTTACTCAAAAGAGCACAAACTAGTATTTCCTTTCAAAGAACTCTGTGAAACAATAACATATTAATCTTTAAAGCTAAATAGTGCTAAAATTTCACATAATCTACATTAGTTTTGGTTTTAAATAATTTTACCAACCATTATAAAATTAATGTATTTGCATGTATCAGGTTACAGACATTTGCATTTCAATCAGGGTGAAGTATCCCATGCTGGAACAAGGAGTTTAAGCAATTGCTGTTTCAACAGCAGCTAATTCTTATTGCCTCAGAACCAAGTTTCCATGAAGTATTGAACAAGAAAATGCAGGACATTGTTTCCCCACAAAACTGTTAAAAGTCTGTTACAAGCAACAATAAAATGCCTTCTGGACAGGAAGCATTTATAAAATGCAGAGCTCTCCCAGCGAAGTGCTTGCACAGGGCATTCACTTCATTCTTCCCATTTACATTCAAAACCCTGAAGAGATCACTGACCAGACG